AAAAAAAAAAGTTGTCTGGATTTCGCTCTATATTCATTTTTTCTAGCGTTCCATTTTGCCCCGCCGTCTCATTTTGCCCCACTGTCCCATTTTGCCCCACTCTCCCCTATATATGATATGTATTATTGTGTATATACTATATATACACTGTCCCATTTTGCCCCACTCTCCCCTATATATACTATATATACATATAATATATACTATATTAATTTGAGAGTGGGGCAAAATGAGACGGCGGGTCAAAATGGGACGCGAGGCAAAATGGAACGCTAGAAAATATGAATATAGAGCGAAATCCAGACAACTTTTTTTTTACCTAATATGAGTTCAAAAATGATGATTTTAGGTTAAGTCAGTGACATCAGTCTATTCTGTCTTTATCGTTATTTTGTAATCTGAAGCAGATAAGAGAATTTTGATAGACCCCTTTTTTGGAGAGAATTTCAAGGGCTATAAAAAAGGTTATTATAAAAATTTCGCTATCTTGATTATAGAAATGATAATTCGCTGTTGAACTCAGTGACAACAGTCCATTTTACAGTTTTTGGCTACTATTTTGTAATCTAAGAGAGATAAGAGAATTTTTATCAGAACCTTATTTATAGAGAATCTCAAGGGCTACAAAAAATATTCCTAAGAAAATTTCGCTATCTTCATTACAAGAAAAATAATTTTGAGTTGACTCAATGGTCCACTCTGCAGTTTTCGGCGAGTATCTTGTAATCTAAGAGGGATGCGACTAATTTGATGGATATATTTTAAAAAGATCATTATGAAAATTTGTCGATCTCCATTGGATCTCAAGATATTTGGTAAACTTCTTGAGAATCGACTCGGATTGTGAAAATTCTCTTAGAATTCATGGGAAGTCCCTGAGTTCTTTCAAATTATTTCAAAAACTTGACGAATTTTCTTCGAAGGTTCCAGAAACTTGGAGCATTCTTTCAAAATCTCTGTAAATCTCGATTCCTCTAAAATTTCTAGAAACTTGAACAACTCTGCCGCAATTTTTTGAAGTTTCTCCTCTTTGTTCCTAGAAAGTTGGAGATTCCTCTGGAAATTTTGAAAAGTCTCTGAAATTACTCCAAAATGTTTAGAAGTGATTGATATATTCAAAATTTCTTGAAACTCAAAGAATTCTATCGAAATTTCTAGAAAACAGGTGAATTTTCATGAGTGTTATTTTTCTTTGTATATTTGATTTGATCTTGCAATTGGCCTGGTGCTGTCAGAGTTGGAAAATTTTGAAATTTTTAAGAAATTTCCGAACTAAAACTGTCTGACAGCCTCAAATACTGCGCTCTGATTGGCTGAACTTCGAGTTAGGAGAATAACCAGAAATACTTGGATTCTCTCGAAATGTTTCCAAGTTTATTCAATTCTTTCAAAATTTCGAGTTTCTTCGATTTCTTCCATATTCCTACAAACTTACGAAATTCTCCTGAATTCGTTAGAAAATTCGGAAACTTGCAAAACCCCCTCGAATTTCGGGGAATTTTCCAGCATTCTCATGAAAATTTTAGCATTTCCTAGAATTTTGTTAGATGGTGCTTGCCGTCATGAGACACTCCGCGAATCAGCCCCCACGATGAAATCTAAGAAGAATTCACGTCAAAATGGAAATTGAACAATCTAAATTAAAAACCCCTGACAGAAAGTTGGGAATTAACTGATGGAAAAATGATAACTTGAAAAGTGCTTGAAAAGTGCAAACGTGAAAAATTAGCTGCTAATGAGCTCTAAATCATCTGATATTGGAAAACAGATTTTACTCCATTTTACAATGACTTTTTGCTAACTTGCGGTAAGCTAGCAGCAACGGCATTTTCCCAGAAAGTACATGAGCAAAAAATTTTTTGAAAGCGTAGGAAATTGGCTCTCAATGAGCTTTAAATTATCCAATGTCAAAAACAGAATCCTGTTCATTTTTGCGAATTTTTCCTGTTGACTTGCAAAAGAATTGGCACTCCCCGGTATTTTTTTCCTTTCATTTCCTTTCAAAACTAACAGGATTCATCCCTAGTCTGTAAGCATGTACTAGCATCCTCTTCTTTAAAAAAAAACAAAAAAAATCAATTTTTTTTTGGACAAAAAAATTGAAAAATTTGTTTGAAAAAAAAATGAATTTTTTTTTTGGAAACGTGAAAAATTAGCTGCTAATGAGCTCTAAATCAGCCGATACTGAAAATCAGGTTGTTCTCCATTTTAAGATGATTTTTCTGCTAACTTGCAGTAAGCTAGCAGCAACGGCGTTCTTCCAAAAAGTATATTAGCAAAAAATTTTTTGAAAACGTAGAAAATTAGCTTTTAATCAGTTTTAAATTATCCCATGTCAAAAAAAAATTCTGCTCATTTTTGAAAATTTTTATTGCTAGCTTACAAAAAAGCTAGCATGGACACGTTTTTTTCAAAAACGACGTTAGCAAAAAATTTTTTGAAAGTATAAAATTAGCTCATAATGAGCTGCAAATCATCCAATAACGAAAATTCGATTCTGCTACTTTTGCCGGCTAGGTATACATACGTAATTTATCACCCATTCCTTTATCATTTGTAGCACATCGTTTTCTCGGAACAACGAAACATATGAGCACAGTCTTCTAATAGCAATGAATTGTTGACATGTAAAAATACGTAGACTTTTTCTTTTCCAGGTGCATCACTTCGTCACAGCTTCTCGTTTCCATCATTTTTATTTACAATTTTTGGCCTTTCCACGAATTTACTTCTATTTTCGTGATTTTTATTCCAGGTACTACCAAGTCTGTGGCGCCCTGACAAAAGCTAAATCCCACAGTGACAAAATCTACAGTTTCGACGCAGAACACGAGAAACGTCGAAAAGAGCAATTAAAAAAACTATTCGAGCGAACACCAGAGCAAGTAGAGGAGGAACAGACCCTCCTAACAGAGCTACGAAAAATCGAACAAAGGAAAAAAGAGCGAGACCGTAAAACCCAAGATTTGCAGAAATTAATCACAGCAGCTGATCACCAAGCAGACCCCAGGAAGAGCGAGAAGAAAGCTGTGAAAAAGAATACCACAACATCACGTAACAGACCAAACAAATCAGACGCTGCATACACCCAGAAACTCCAGGTCGTCGAGTCTGCGGGAATAAAATTCCCAGACTTTAAAAATAGCGGTGTGAGTCTTCGCTCCCAGCGAATTAAATTACCAAGCAGTCTTGGACAGAAGAAGATGAAGGGAATCGAGCAGATGTTGAATGAACTCCAGATAGAGCTCAATCCACCGCCCACCGAACAAATTTGCCAGCAGTTTAATGAATTACGAAGCGACATTGTTCTTCATTATGAGCTGCGAGGTGCTCTCGCTACTTGTGACTATGAATTGCAGTCGTTGCGTCATCAGTACGAGGCATTGGCACCTGGAAAGGTAATTGAATCGTTGTGTAATTTATGATTTACATAATTCATTGATGAATCGATTGTTTCAGACATTGACAATCCCTCCTGCTCTTTTACCTAAGAATGAACCAGAGACCAAGGCAGATATAATTGACGTTGTGGGATCCCCAACAATGCCCAATACGACACAATGATTTCTTAGTATTCTTTATTCGGTAATGGGGAGATGAAGAATAGGTGTCAAATGGAATAATTAAACTTGACGTAATTGGCGAAGATCTCTAAGACAATTGGGTTTGGAGTGAGATGTCAGCAGAAATTTTTGTAAAGAACTTTTCAAAGATATTTACGTGATGTGGAAATAGTTCGTAGGTTATTTTTATGAAATGAAATAAAAAGACCTCTTGACATTCACCTGAAGCTCTTCTATTCAAACATATTATAATTTCCCTGAAGATTCGTTTCCTATTTTTCATCACTAAACCAAAAATATCAAACGTCATAAATGATTGCATTGTCATCCAAATGAACTTCTGAAAAGTGTACTCAGGGGTGAGATGTAAATAATAACACATTACTTAATTACTTATATATCTGTGTATTTGATATTGTCGACAAAAAGTAACAATTTACGGTCAAACCGTATAATTTATCTACAACAATCTACAATAGATTACAATATGTTCTTTCATGTTTTTTTTTCATTATTCAATTACTTAAGTCATTAATCATTATTAGGCTGGTGGAGAGAAAGAAGACGAAGGGGGGAGGATTAAATTGGGGGAAAGAGGATGGTCTGAACATGCACCACACAAGCCCTCCACTGCTCTCACTCAAATATTATTTACTCGTTATCTGATAATTATAGTTTTTCCTCAATCTTTTCATTATTTAATTCTTTTTTGGGTTCATCATTGTTCCTACGATGAGAAATTTACTCTGATATTTCTAGCTGTACTTGGTACGAAATAATTAACCCGACTCTTGCATGCGGCATATTGGAGTGTATTCTCGACATTGGGTTTTCTCATTTCTGTTTTTTTCTCTTCGAGGAAAGATCCTACCCTTTTTTTGTGGTATGTTATTCCTATTATTATCATCATTTATATTTCCCAAAGTAGTCACCGAAGTTGGATTTTTATTGACCGGTCATGCACAGGCATCTACTCGACATGAATGAGTCGTTATCATTTAAAAATGCATTCTCATATATATTTTCATTTTATTTATTCTCGTTTGTACAAAGGTGTGCTAGGAGGGAGGTATTCAATCATAAACTTCAAAGGGAAATTAAAATAGTTGAATGATCAACGTTCCTGACCCAGTGACCTTCCTCATGTTATTACATTCCTTTTGAGTATATATTTTCTATTTCCTGTTTGTTTCAAAAATCTGCTAAAATGGTTGGAAATTCGGTTGAGCAAAAACGGCGAATAGAAGTAGTAGAGTACAAAGACAGCGTTAAGGTGTTTTTCTGAAGAAAAGGGGAGAATGAAAGCGAAAGTGGTTTGTTTTACTATTCGTGTCTCTCGTTTCTGCTGCATTTTAATTTTTTTAAATCTCTTAATTCGATAATGCAATAACTTCTAGGATAGCACCCTAGATTTCAGCAATTGGATCTACCAATTGCTCCCTGCGCTCCTTTTCTACAGCATTTAAATTCTTAATTCGTCTCTTGCTCAACAATACAGCGTTCCATGACGCTATTGCAGAATTGATTGAATAGGAACCAGGTGAGAAAGCGTAGCATGAATATGTCAAATTTTTCATGTAAATTCTCATCAACAGTGTAGGCATTACCAGAACATCAGTGAGTTGCATAAATACAAGTTTTTTTTGTTTATATAGTGGATCTGTAAATTTATCAGCCCAATAACAGAGTAGTTGTATTTAAAATATTTTAGTGCAAGAAATTTTCGATGGTATTCATCTTCGTGACCGATGATATACAGCTGAAGTAAATGGAAAAAATTAATGAAGAAATGAGAGAGAAATAATTGAAGTAAAGAGGGTCTCGGAACAAATTTCCCATTTTTTCCATTGATAATCAAAAATTTCATCTATAAAAACATGCATAAAGCACTCAAAATATGTTCATTAAATATTGTTACAATTTCTGTCATACTTCTGGCCAATATTTTTTGTTAATTAGTAAAAGAAATAAAGGATGCAGTTTTTATAATGGAGTTGCTCGTTACAGTTAACTCGGGGAATAGATATATATATTTTTTGTCAGGACTACGTTGATATCAGCGGCGCACGTACAAACATAACTGTCAGCTTCGGTGGTTTAAAAGCCTCATCTTTTTATTTTTGTTTCACACTAAAAAGCGAGGCGGAAAAATTTGGACTACGCTTTTTCATAATTAGTATTATTATTATTTTTTCATTTCATCCTTTAAGTTGGCAAATATGTAACATATTCAATAGTAATTGTTATACCTATATATATGTGAGTAATGTATGATTTCATTTGTGTACAATAATCTCAAACAATTTGCAGTAACGGACCAAAAAATTACGGACTTTTATGTATTCATTTTTTTTGTCATTATTTCATTCATTTTTTTTATAATTCAACATGTAACATGAGGAACCGTGCTTAGCATAAGACATTTCCTACATAACACGGTTACTTTATCTTTTATCTCAAATATAATGGTTTATTTATCATTTGTTGTCAGGCGAATGGGCAAAATGAGCACGTCTCGAACGCCATAATCATAAATTTCTCTAATTCTGGCCATTCTTATAATCATTCTCGTCCTATTTATATTTAGCATTTTGCAGGCGATCGCATAAGCAAGCCTTTGCATCTTTTATTTATCTATTATTAAAGTGTGAATATCACTTATTCAACACTCGCATTATTCGCATCTCATTATCAATTTATTTATGTTTGATATGTATATACATATATACACATACGGATATGTACAGAACAACATATGTATATGTATATGTGAATATATTTTATATATCTGTATATATGTATAATACATTCTTAGTTTAGTGTCTACTATACGTCGTCTGTTGCCTCAATTTATTCAATTGTTCTCATTGAATAATTCATCATTTTTCATTTCATATTTCTTCAATACTCTGGTAGATTCTCACGCACATAACCTAAACACTCTCGCTCACTCATGTTCGCTAATCGTTTTGTATTTGAATTATTTATTTAAATGCTTGCTTTCGTCGCTTATTAACTGAAAGGTTCTCCTTCTATACATGTATAATACTAATTTACTATTAATGGTAGACAACAACAATTAACCTACGCATGTATTTAAAATTTTATACTGCTCTACATCGTATTTCGTATATGCCGTAAAAATTTTGTATATAAGGATATAATAAATGTTATGTTTGTTTTAGTCATTTTTTTTAAATTTTTTTTTCTCACGTTTTCTTTACATTTTTTGTGATTTTGGTGGATTTTTTTTGCTCGGTGTTTGCGCACAGGTTTCAACTCATCGCTGTGGGGCCAGTATCATAAATTATACGCGTGACTTCATTGCGGTTTTTTTGTTATTCAGTTTCTCATTGAAATTTCATGTCTCTTTTTTCTGCTGGTTTTGGTTTCCTATAATTATCATTGCTCTTGAATATTCAAATTTCTTTTAATATCTTTTTGTTTATTTAAAACATCGAACAGCGTTATCATTGACCATTAATTCCCATTACTAAAAACACTCACGGCCGTGTAATTAACGAGTTTAAAAAAATGGTACGCTAATTTTGAAATGCATCATTGTTATTGTTCCTGTATAGCGATTTTTTTTGTTTCGTCTTTGTACAAATATGCATTAAAAACGATGTCAGTCGTTTTATTTTTGTTAGTTTTGGTTTCTATCATTTCCTAGGATAGCTAGTTGATCAGTTGAATCAAGGGAAAGGACATAATTGAGAGAATGTGGTGGGGCAAAATCGATTTGAATTGACATTCAATAACTCTTGAACTGACAAAACAAATTTAATGAATTTTGTCTCAAGCAGTTCTCGAGCTATTGAAGATTAGAATGTTCATTTTGCCTCGGTACTCCCCAAGAATATCATAATTAACAAAAGGGAGAATGAGTGTTAAACAGGCAGCACATTTTGCTGTTAAGGAATTTCCGCAGTAAGTATACTTGGTGAAAATTTCGAAATGGTATAGAGACGCAATATTTGGATCATATATTGTTGAGCACATTCAAAAACTATTCCCAAAATTTCAAGAACCTTGTCCACCCCATTTTCGAGATAAATATCATCAAAAATGGAAAAAACACAAAAATTGAATGTTTGGCGATGCATATCTCGAAAATGGGGTGGACCAGCGACTTGAAATTTTGGGAATATCTTTTTAATGTGGTCAACAACATATGATCCAAATATTGCGTTTTTATACCATTTCGAAATTTTCACCAAGTATACATACTGCGGAAGTACCTTAATACCTAAATAAATTATCTAAATCACTCTCATCATCTACCATTTTTTTGTTGTTGCACTTATCAACAGCGACGATGGTATTGCCGAATGATCATAGTCCAGTCTTAATGTTTTGTTTTCTCTTTTAGTTTTTTCAATTTTTGTTTGTTTTCTTTCTACAATGAAAATGGTTTTTAGACGTCACATTTATCACGGCTTAATCAGATAATGTGCGATTGTTCAATTTAAGCTATAGTTATTCATGACAAAAAATAAATATTCGTCTTCCTGTATATTTTTCCTATAACTTCAATGCTTTATTTGATTCTTTTTTTATGACAACTATCGAAAATATGCGAATATGGCTTTAATCGCGAATTCGATACTGACTCCGAAAGCGAATCGCCTTTGCGTATGTCAACTGTGAATCCATTCTATTTACTTCTGTCCAATGTGACGGTTCTATCATTCGAATAATTTTCCCTCACGAATGACCTTTCTCTAATTGTTCAATGATCTTACTGTGTGATAATATCGCTTTGCTATTTGTAATTTGATCTATTTTATCAATTGTCGATTAATTCATCGCATTATTCATTTTGTTCGGCTCCGCGAATGAAAACCTTGCGGTTTTTATTCTTGATATTTTCTTTTCTCTATTTTCTATTCATATGTTATTAACTTCTCTTGAATTTGTATCGCGAAACTCGACTGGTAGTTGGTTGAAAAATGATTCTCGAAAATTTTGGTTCAGTAGGGCGAAATGGACAGTTGTTAACTATCAATAACTCGAGTTTGAAAGAATGGAATTCGATGGACTGGCGGCATTTCGAAACTTTTAAACTGGAAACATTTAAGCGGGTGATTAGCCAACAATTTTCTAACGGTAAATCACAGTCATTAATAATTTGTGAATAAATCGTTTATTGAACGCAAAAAAAAATTCTAGAGATCGAAGGAATTGGTTCTTCGAGCTTTAGTTTGTGCACTTAAATCCATACAGAAAAATGCTTTATTTGAATTCGGTAAACTCCATTTGAATCAAATAAATCGTTCATTTGATTATAATAGAGGATTTATTTGATTCAAATAAAATTTATTTAATTCAAATGAACCATTTTTCTGGGTGTAGTATTTTATTAGTATTTATTGTTGTTGGGACTTCAAACTCCTATTCGCCAGAAAATTTTTTTTCGTTTTAGTGATTAAAAATACTATTTTGACGTATGGGATATGTGTAAGTCGAATGCGAAGGCCAGTACTACCCCCACGGGTCGAAGGACAATTTTTTCACGAGTGTCGGACGCTATTTTTCATCACAATGGGCGTGAGCTTAAATAGTATATTGTGTTACTAGTGTGTAAAGATCCACTTTTTCGCACACACGTGTAACGGAGATTCTACAATAAAGCGCCACGCAGGATTAACGCGACGCATGCAATTGTTTGAATCATACATTCAACTGCTTTTCGATTAATTTGACAGTTGCAAGTGTTGCGTCAAGTAAAGTGGTTATTTTTGTGCACGAGTGCGTAATGTTCAAGAGCGTGCGTGAAGGGAATTTCGAGTGCGTAAAGAGAAACTTTACGCATGAACATTCTCGTGAACTTTACGCACGCCATACGGAAAACAACCGCTTTACGCACACTAAACCGTTTCGAAAAGTGCACTTTTCAGGCAGTTATCACAAAAATGTCACTTTACACACAGCGTGATCAAAAATTAACTTTTTCGGTAGGTATTACTACCCTGACGGATCACTCGATTAAGGGATCGAGTTGTTCACTTGTTCGAGTATTGGTGGATCATCAGTTAATGGGTGATGACCGTCAATCGACTAAGCGTTGACCAGCAATCCTATCGACTAACGACTCATCATCGATCGACTACCCGTTGACCAGTAATCGACTAGCGATCGACCAAGGATTAACCGACGATTCATCGGCCATCGACCGAGTGAACAAGTCGACAAATCGGGTTGCCATCGAGTAACCATCGATCGATCTGCCAGGGTGGAGTTGACGCTCGAGCTGAAGACAAAGACTGGCCAGTAAAAAAACCTATGGCACTGGTCATGGATGATATTTTTCTCTCGTTTTCGAGTTTGTTGACGGGCCAATGTCAATCGCCAAACACACAGAAAAAGAGGAAACGGGAAAAGACCTGAGATCTCAGGACTGTTCCCTGGGATCCACCGGTGGGGCGCGCCTTGGCTGACAAAAACCGGCGTTTTCACTGATAAAACCAGCATTTTTACTGTGAAAACTGGCGTTTTCACTCCGAAAACCAGTGAAAATGTCGGTGTGCACAGTTAAAATGCCGGTTTTGGTACTCGAGGCGCGCCCCATCAGTGGATCTAAGAGAAAATACCGCTTCCTTCTTTTGCGTGTAATTGTTGCTCCAAATTTTTTTCTGAAGTGATGTGGCAAAGGCTTAGAGAGAGAGAGAGAGNAGAGAGAGAGAGAGAGAGAGAGAGAGAGAGAGAGAGAGAGAGAGAGAGAGGGAGAAAGAGAGACAGAGAGAGAGAGGTAGAGAGAGAGAGAGAGAGAGAGAGAGAGAGAGAGAGAGAGAGAGAGAGAGAGAGAGAGAGAGAGAAAGTGTGTGTTTCCAAGTATTTATTCCCAATTTTTACGAATCTATCTCTAAATTTGAGAGATCATTAACCCTTCAGAACTCGCGCTATAAGCGCCGCGCCGCCTTTTTCAAATTTTCGCTTGCCTCTTGCAAAATTGAGCTTTCAAAAAATTGAAAAAATTAGAATGCCTAGCTTGAATCATTTAGAATGGATTAGCAAGGTTCTTATCCGCTGAAAATCCATCAAGGCTTCGAAAAATGATAAATTGTTGAGGCTCATACGCAAAAGCGGCGCCGTGCCGCCCAGTGCGAGTAACGAAGGATGTAAAATTTTCAATTCCGCTGTTGCTGTTTCCCGCTCGCCGCACGCTCGGCGCGTACCTATGAACGTGACAACGCTGCGTTACTGAAAGCACGGGCGGCGCAGCGCTCACCACGCGAGTAGCGAAGGTCGGTGGCTGAGCGCGAGTTCTCAAGGGTTAACATCAAAATCGATAAGGGAAAATCGATGAGAAAGAATTTTTTCTCCTACAGCACTAATTTGTTAGCTGATGAATCGTAGAATATCCTCTATGCAACGTATTTTTTATTGAATTCCATTTTCCTTGAAAATTCCGTTTCGGACGACAAAATTTTCCGCGTTTTTGATAATTTTTTCTCAATTTGTCTCTCCGTGCAAGATTTCTCTCTTTGGTTTGCTGTTTGGAGAATTTCCCAATTCACATTAATGTTCTAAGCCTTTTCATTTCATCACTCTAGAAAAAGTTGATGGCAAGAATTTTATTGCCCCAAGAAATCTGCTTTTTCGCTCACAATCCAAACGACTGCATTGAGAACTCAGATAGGGGCCGGGCGTAGGTCGCGGACTCTACTTGCACGGGTTCACATGTTCGCCATTCGACAGTAGCTCCTTGGGAGAGATAGAGCTCGCAACCTACTTACACGGGTTCCTATACCGTCCGATAGATGGAGTATTCGAGTTCTTGATTTTCCAATAGTTTACCCCTGCTCACGGCAAGACTATGACTCATAGACGCACTAGCCAAAAACTACTTGATTCCCTGTGAATAAAATTCTCGCCATGTTTCACGCTATACGTCCCAACAACTTCGTATTACTTCCCGAGATAGTTCATCTGACAGTGGAGCATTCTCTCGTGAACAGAATGCTTGATGCTGACACATACTCCGGCACTATTGACCCCAGTCGCAGTATTTTGTCAACTTCAAAATGCCCCCGACGTCGTCTCACTCGCATTCTTTGTCTCGAAGATATTGGAAATTCGAGGATGTCCCTTGTGCCCCGCCCCTCTACAGACGAGAGTATTCTCCTTAAATGAAGACTATTGTTCTCGATCTAAGAACAATTGTTTCTGTCTGAAAACTTGGCAACGTTGACGATTGTACAATCAACGGTATCATGAAAAATCATACTGGAAGATTTAATCCTAAATAAAAAGAAGAAAAAACAAGTACTTTTCCCTAAACTGTGGGTGAAAAACCGGGATTTTTTTTCATACATATAAAGTGAATTTTCCTGCTTTTTCAATGACCATTTCTACCTTCAATTTCGCCAAATAATCAATTCAAGAAGTTATCTTCCTCTGTGCCCTAATTGAAAAAATGCCAGTATCCATTAATGAATTATCACACTGAGAAAAGCAAAGTTTTTTTAGAAGTACATCTTTACTCATATCAAGAAACTCGTGACTTGAAAATTTTCAAGAGTAAAATATCTTGCATTAAGGAAAAAACAACTTTCGTCAAGAAATTTTGTACTTGTCCTAAAGACGAGGACAATTTCTTCATGACGAGAAAGCGATTTCTCATACCAAGTAAAATTTAATTAATTCCTTTAATAGTTTTTTAGCCTTAATTTGAAAATGTTTAATGCAAAATCCACTTGAATTAATATGAGAATTCGTTTTCTTGATATCAACCAATTGCCCTCATCTTTTGGACAAGTATAAAATTTCTTGGCGTAAGATTTGTTTTCTTAGTGTGAGATATTGTGCGCTTGGTAATTTTCAAGCCATGAATTTCTTGATACAAGTAAAGGTGTACTTCTCAAAAAACTTCTATCTTCTCAGTGCAATTTCAAAATAATCAATAAATAAAAGGACTCAATAAAGTTGTAACTCGTTACTTATGTTTCTTCGTTGGTTCTTTCACTAATAATAGAATAATCAAACACAACTGGACCTGCAGTAACATTCGTAGACTATGTAACCTGTTTTCATATAATGTCTACTTTATTTCACATATTCAACTTGATTTCGTTAAATTAAGTGCTTCACCTAGAATTTGTTCATTCAAATATCCTCATTCTGAATCATCAATAACGGCGGTGGACGGGGGGCAAAACCCTACATGTAAATGCAAATACAATGGTTTAAAAACAAACTCAACCAATTTATGGTAACTTTAATAATCAGTAAATCGTCTTTCTCCGAATAATCCCGCGAAGAAATCGTATATTATACATAATCATCCTAACTATCGATTAATGATAATTGGTATTTTCATCTATATTTAGATAGCGACCCACCCCGTCACGTTGTGTATCGTCGCACTCCTCACATCACTTGTTTTTTAATTTAATATAATCTTAACATTAATTATTTCGTAATCTTGGAAACTTCAACGCTCTTTATTTAATTCATCATCATTTAATCAACTATTTTAAACCTTACGAGTGAACTTCTATTCTAAGATCGTTTTCACTCATCGACTAATGATATCTAAATTTAAACGTCTCTTTCTCTGATATGTGCGTTCATGCCTTGTCATTTATAGGAAATCATCATTTTTTCATCATTTCGTCGTGATATCATTCTCAGTTAATGATGAATAATTTTTGGCTGAATTTCCCCTTCAACTCCAGATTTTTCCACATGTCTTCAATCGAACAATGGACCATTAATATTTGTCTTGAGTGCATACAATTTTTTTTATCAACAAAATTCAGAAAAAATTGTCATCTGAAAAAATCCGTTTAAAATCCTCTCGCGTTATTATCACCACCTGCTTCATTCAATATTCAATGATAAAATACTTGAGTACAAATAACCAACGGCCCACATCAGTGATGCTCGCATCTCGTGTCTTCGTATTGTTCTATTTTCGTGATAAATCTCGTATTTTTATTATTGCTTCGATCGTTCTGATCCGCGATTCATTATGATCCGAGGGAAAATGGGAATAATATTTGAGAGAGACGTGTAATTCATCAAATGTGACTAGAAGGGGCGGGTGGAGGGATGGCTAAAGGTCACGCAACGAGAGACACGGAGCCCGAGCTGCAGTTACGTCGGCTGGCTTTATATCGTTTTAGATGCATTGTGTAAATAAATATCTATTGCATAATACATATTTACCTATTATTCATCGTTTATCTCACTCTTTATCCTTCAATTTCATTTTTTTTGTTTCACTTCTAGTGACTAAGCTCTATGATATTTTGTTTTATTTATTCATATTTTTTAGTTTTTTCTTTTTCCTTTTCGCAGCATTTTCTCAGAGCGTTGCCACTCTTACTTATTTCTCTTGCGGATCGATATACTTCGGGAAGATCGTATTGTGCATAATTCACTAATATTTTTTAACATGTTAATTCATATTTTATGTATATATATATATATACACCTATATATATATATATATACACCTAGGTAACTATGACACCGAGGAACGCCAGATTCTATTTATCTCGTTGATCAGGTTCTCCAGGTGATTCTACTGTTCATTCATTTCATGTATTTGTAGCAAACGCCGAAGCCCCGCAATTCTTCACTGTTTTATGTAAAAACTAATTTATCGTTCTATTTTGGATTCATAATAGATAATATGAAGGTGGACTTACTCATCTCCTTTGGGTCTTTAAAAATTCATAACTATATTTTCGTTTTTATTCGTAAAAAAACAATGCGATTCGTTCAATCTATATTCAAACAATCGATCTGGGAGAACGCCAGGTTAAAATACAGATGAATGTTGAGTTAATTATGTAACATTATAGTATTTAAAATCGTGAACAATTGCTATTTTTTATTATAAACTATATGAAGAGATGTTAACTATGATATAATATATTTCATTTTTTTTTGGGATACTGTAGGCCACAATTAGGCTCCCCCCAATGTCTCAATCAACTATTCAATGTCAACATTAACAACAAATCAAACTTCGATCAAAAGTTGAACACTCGAGGCAGAATTCAAATAGTCACATTTCAATCGCTCCAGTCTAACTCTACAACATCGTCCAAATATTAACTACACGCAACGGTTTTCTTTAATTCACTGGTTTACACATGTTTTTTTTTTTGTAAGTATTATTTTTGTTATACAAAATTGCGAAAAATGTTTTACCTTATCAGCTATAATATTCTATAATCATGTTCTACAATCGTAAAAACGTAAAACGTGACATATCAACTTCCATGACACTCGAGTGCTCCACCACATTCTGCTGAAGTTTTTGCATCGTGAGGTGACACAGAATGTTTTTATTTCATTTATGCGTATTTTTTCTATTTGCTTCATGTATTATTCTTTTGCCATGATAAACTAGTGGACAACTCACTGGTGACCCATTTAAAAGGTCTCAATGTATCCATTTGATGAAATTCAGCGAGGGAATAATTTTTACCGAGTGCAGATAACATGTAAATAGAAGTTATTATTCTCATGGTTTATATAGCTTAAAAATGTTTATATATATATTTCAACGAGTTGACGACGTTCTCGTACAGATCGACAGTATCTTGACTATATCAAAAGCACGAGTGATGGTTTTTTCTTATTTTTCTTGAAAGGTTTTATACATATTTACATAATCTCCACTAGAACAACGCTTTGTTGATTATACTTTTGTGGCTTTGAGTGACGATGAGGGGAGGGGGTCATCGGTGTTTGCCTTTCTGGGGGTTTTGATGATGGATTTTTGAGATTTTTCGTTGAGTGGTATCTGGTCGGAGAAATTTGGGTCTTGACTGGGCTCCTCAGCATCAATAATAGTATTCTAAACGGGACAAACGAGTATTTCGTACTCGAACATGAGCGATACGGCGACGAATACGAAATAGAGAAGGAACATGGTGAATCCGAGGCCTCTGTTCATTCGCCATTTGAAGAATGCGATACTCATGATAACGAAGAGGAGCATGCAGAAGAGGATGGCGATGCTGCAGACCATTCCGACCGAGTTCACCTCGACTGGCTTGCCGTAGATCAAACCGTATAGTAGCCACGGAACCGGAAGCCTAGGAGCATTTTTTTCTTTTGCTATTTTTTATTGGTTTAATTTGTTTAATGCTTTGAGGAATTATTTATTTTAATCAACCCATGTTTCGAACACTGAAAAAATTTCTAGTTTTCAGGGAAAATCTCGGAATTTCAGAACACTGGTGTAGTGAAATGTAATGAGCAACGAAGTCCTGGGAATGAGTTAAAGTTGCACCTAATTCAAGAAAAATTTCCTTAAATGTCAGAGAAAAAAGTTCTAATGTTTAGCAATTCTTACTCTAATCTAAGCGCAATTGCACTGGAATTGAGGCACATTTTCTTTTATTTTAAGGGAATCTTGGTTCGGTGAATTTGGAACTTTTGGGTTGGGGTCTTAAGAGGAGATTCTGAAATGACAGAGGTCTTTAATGACCATGCTAATGAGTTTACTACTACAGTTTTGATGTAAAAAAAATCAAAGAATAAGAAAAAATTGGGTTTTATGTTTTTCATTGATGGAATTTTCATGTGTCCTTATGGCGAATTTTGGTGTACATGTACATAATATATGCATAAATATATGTAAATGACGCTTTTGAAAAATCTTCATTTTTTTGGGTTTTTAACATTTGTTTTCTCGACATTGCTATAGATGAAAATTCTGAAAAATTGATCAATTTTAAGTACATCAGAAAATCTTGAAATATTCCTACTTGAATGATTTATAATTTTCAATATTACTAATTTTGCAAAAGTTTCAACTTCAGCCAATTTTGAGAAAAAATTTCAAAAACTCAAAATAGAAGTTTTCAAAAACACTCATTTAGTTATGTTTGTGTACATATATGTATATGTGAACCAAAACGCGAGTCCATCGGTTGAAAATTGCGCCGTGAGAATCCTTATGAGAATTTAATTCTTGGAAAGCCTCTTGTGATCAACAAAAAAAAAGATCTAATTTTCTTTTTTACTTTTCTACATTCAAACTGAATTAGTAAACTCAGCAGCACGATAGATAAAGGCACCAGTGATTTCGAAATTTCCGTGTGGTCTCCTCTTAAAATAAGAACCAATTTTCCCGATTTTTGCATCAAGAACGTCCGCGTTTTCAAATTCAGACCAATTTCATATTTGAATTGATGATTTCTTCTGTTTTAAAATTAATCTACTTATGTTTATAAATCCGTTCTCGTTGTGTATACATTACCCGACACCTCGACGCCTTTAATACTAAATTATTTCAGAATTCTATACCCTCTGAAAGTTGTTAGTTTAAGAGCGAAAACTTTCTTAATTTAAGAATGCAACGGTTCTTGATTGAAGAGCTTTTCTCACCCAGAATAAGCAGTTTTTGATACTGAATTGTAAGGATTTTTCTTCTGAAATTAAGTAACCAGTTTCTCATTCTCAGGGTAACGTCTTCTGTAACGACAAGTTCTGATAAAATCGGTAACTTTTTTCTGCAAACTAGAAATGATTTCTCACTGTGTATGAAATTAATATAGCGATGATTGCAGATACTAGAACTTACAATGAAACAAACAACTTCATTGAGTTGGTAATGAAGTGGATAAGGATGTTGTATTAAAAATGGATTTAGCTCTAGAAAATATTTTGAGTGAACTGTATTGGAGAAAATTTTGTTCCCCACAAAAAATCTTTTTTGAAATTCTCCTTGGATCTAGCAGATTCACAGATACTTGTAAAATAATTTATACTGAATTTTTGTTGATGCGGATATTTTGTAAATCCAGAAAACATCTTTCTATAGAAAATGTGACGAACTATAATAGGAGAGAGTCTTTGATTTTTTTTCCATACTTAGTAGTTTCGGAGATATTTGTAAAATGTTTTTTTACGAATTTTTGGTAACTATAAAGAATCTTCCTAGATTTACGGAGAAAAAAGTTTTTAGTTTCCCGTAAAAGTCTCTGGATTCCGGTGCAATTTCTCTAATAATTCCCTCAATTCTAATTTTGATCAATGAGAGTGCAATATTCGGGATCACGGGACACGTTTTCCACTGATAATGCCCCTGTAGCCTGTCAATTATTTTCTACGAATTTGACAGATATTCCTCACATTTTGGTGAAATGTGTCCCGTAACCCCGAACACCACACCGTGATCGGCCAAAATTAGAGTTGAATAAATTGTCCGCCGAATACCTCTTGACCTTCAAAATTCATCGGATATGTCCCTCAAGTTTCCCTACCGATCAACGATCGGGATCAGTTTTGCAGTAAAATCCTTTGCGCTGCGCACTCGAGATTTTTAGACTGCAAAACTTGATACTATCATTTTTTTACAACGGAGCTTTCGTGAAATATCCGATAATTTTGAAGGCATCGGGGTATTACAACTGAGAATAAGTTCTAGCCCTCAATAATTTTTACTAAAATCCAGCACCTATATACTTTGGTATTGAAATCAAGAACCCTGAAATTCTTAAAATAGAAATCTCAGGGTCTTTAAATTGATATCCTTGTCGCCTCAAATTATCTTCGTTAATTACGGTGTGACATCACATCCTCTCAGTAATCAAGAGATGGTATATAATACGTTAAATAAATGCCACAATGGTTGAAAACACGTTTCAGGGTTATAAGAAAACGTCTTTCTGAAATACCTAAATTATACAAAATACTGCAAAACGTTTTTTTTGGTATTAAATGTTTGGAAAAGCATATTTTGTACAATCATAACAAAACCGTTTGAAAATATAGATAAAAGGTCTATGCCTAGGATTTCTCGTCTTTTCAGAACATGTATTATGGACATATTCAGCAAGACGTATTTGAAACGTATTTAAAATAACGATACGAAAACGTGTTATATAACAACTCAATTCCGGTTTTACGAACGCGTTTTGAAGGCGTATATGAAGCGGAAATTTTCATCAAAATTAAACATTCTATAAATATGTATTTCAACTCAATTTATACGGTTATAAAGCCATCTTTTGTGTACTGGGCTAGCTAACCCTGTCCCCCTTTTGTCACGAATCGTCATAAATTACTAATGCTCCCAACAGGTTCTTACTTTAAGAACCCAGGGTTCTTTATTGCAGTACGCAAAAAACTGTTCTCAGTGTCATTTTGCAAATATCTTTGAAACAAGACTATTCAGAGAAATCGCTCATTCTCTTTCTTGGAGGAAATTTTGCTCCATAGGAAAATGATAATTCGGCGTTATTCTCTAGACCTAGTCGTAGAGCTATTTGCTGAATGATGAAAATTTGATTCTCTGCTAACAGAAGCTCTTAGGAAATTTCTCTCTAACCTACTAGATCCAGCCATATTTCTAAAATGATTTGTCTAACTCATCTGAAACCATTCGTTTCTAAAATTCTAATGAGAGAAGTTTTCACAAATATTTTGAAGTCTTAACTCAAGACGAACTCCTCCCCCCACCTCTTTCTCAAATGAATCTATTACCCCTCTAAAACTAAACCCATTAATCAGATTGAAATGAATTATTCCTCAGGTTGCACTTAATTCGCAGCTCCTTGAGTCAGAAATAATTACTAGAAGGGTTCTGAATTAAGACGAAGTACTTCTAGAGACCCGTTAAAATTTCATTCACAATCATAAATTAAACTCAACTATAGACTCCCTGAGAAACTATAAATGATTCAAGGTCAAGAGTTGCAAAAATGTTAATTCCCCAAAGAGGAGTACCAACAGTTGCTTAAAGAGAGGCGCAATGATTGCTTACCCAACAGTAACGTCGAATATATTGCTGCCGACGGAGCTTGATACTGCCATATCACCAAAACCCTTACGTGCAACAATGACACTGGTTATTAGATCGGGAATACTAGTCCCAGCGGCGAGAAATGTTAGACCCATTACTTCGGGTGGTATTCGTATCGTATCACCAGCAACATTTGCCCACCAGACCATCAGGTACGAGTACGCCGCTATCCACAAGATGGAGCCGATGAATGTAACAGCGAAGAACTTTTTGCCTGGAAAATAGTTTTTTTTTATTTCGCTCATTTTTCGACTTATTCATTTATGAAAAGTTTTCTTTCTTTCAGGCAAATAATGTAGAAATTCGTTATTACTTAGTATCAAGATTCATTGAATTTCATGACAATTATAAATATATTATAATGAATGATAAATGTGAGGAAACTCGAAGAAATGATAAAGATTAATGATGAGTGAAAAATTAATGGACCTTTCTGAATCTTTAATTAATCTTCTCTCACTTTTCGAAGTAACCCGACCAATACCCGTAACTATTGACAAATAAACGAGAAGTGTTATAAATTGATTCCTTAGAGAAGTGCATACTTTTCTCGAATTTTTCAGACAACTCGAGAATTTTTGAGATTTTTTTCGACTTAAGGGGAGACTGCAGTAAACTCTCACCATCTTTGTTGGAGTAGGTGACGTATCGAACGACTTTTCATATATATGATAATACATGTTAAAAAATGGGAAAAATAATGACTACAATCGATTTTGCCCCGTGAATTAACGAAAAACAACGTCCAAGTACGTCAGTTTTTATCCAATTGACAATTTTGTTTTTCAAAATTTTCGTTAAACTCCAAAGAATAAAGGTGTGTACCCGTTTTACAATCTGTTAGATAGATCATGGAAAAATTGAAAAAATATTTTTTTGTCTTTTTTGTTTTCGCACTGATTCATCAATTTTTCTTTTCTATTATTTCTCTAACCGTTTCCACTAATCATTTTCGAAAAACCTTCTTCCAGCCGAGTATACGGTCACCACAAAGCGAAGAAAAACTCTGACACTCCAAAAAAATGTTCCAATTAAATTTGCCAACGTTACGAATGCTGTACGCATTCTTCATCCGGGCATTTTATTGCATCTGTTTAAGGATAAACGTGCGAGGAGGAAATGTAGGGGGTGAGGCGGAGGGATTTCTATTGTTTTCCTGTAGAAAACCAATCGCTGAACCCAAAAATTTTTCCCATTCGGATTCAAAATTCAGGCAATATTTGGGTGTATCTCCGGTTAAAAATTATTTTTGGAGCTAATCAAATTTATTTGTATCTGTTCCACGCATTGAATGGTTTTCAGATTGTTGTTTTTTAATAAATGAAAAAATATTAATCCATGCGAAAAAGTGAGAACATCGTCGATTTTTTTTTTTCACCAGGAGCTGGTACCACTGGCCAGGCCCGGCGGAAGGAGAATTTGTCATGTGTGGTGGACGAGTTGATGAGGAGTAGGTTGTAAGGATTAGATAATGGTCAAATCGCGAGGAGACAAACGGTGATGGTGAAATGATGAATGGTCAAACGGTCATGAGTCAAATGAGGTGAGAATAAAATCAGTCTAATTATAGAGCAAGGATACGTGTTTATTTAATAATATGCAACATCGAATAGAGTATTAATTATTTATCAACATGAACAATTGATAAACACTTCTTCAGTCTCTGAAGTTATGGCAAATGTGGACATACGCTTGGCGCATTTTTAAGTAGGGAGAGTTGCAAAATTTGAAAGATGACACTGTCAGTCACGAGACTTAAAAAAAATTATTCATAGTCGGGATGAGGGAATATGAATAATTTTTAATAATGGGTTCAGTGTTTGATTGTTAAAAAAACAAGTGGAGAATTGTATCCTTTGTAAATGAGTATAGTTATTGCTGCTAAAAAATTAGCAATATGCTTCCGAATATACTTTGTTTTTAAAATTTTTATCCTACTACTTCTTTTCTTCGTTTTTCCTGTTATAGTACTGTTCTTGATCACAATATCATCAAAATTTTTGACTCATTTTTCGCTTCTTTTTTTGTCTCATCCTGTATTCAAACCCTCGTAAGACCGAATCCGACGTTAGTCAGGGTTTAATCAAGGTTTAATTGTGATTTCAACTGAATATACTATAGTCAGGGTTCGGCCGAAGTTCAACTCGCGGTTGAACATAATTTAGTCAGAGTTTAGTCGATGTTTGGCCGGCGTTTTACCCGGTTCTAATCGGATTTAATCGAAATTTTATTGTGATCCAAGCAAAATTTAGTTGGGGTGTAACTGGAGTTTAATCTAGATTCAATCAGACTTTAGCCGAGATTAAGTCGAAACCATGAATAAATATGGATAAGACCGACCAACCAACATAATAATAGATGGATATGAGAGTTTAATGGAATTCCTTATGTAAAAAGCTCATAACGCTATTATGCGCCTTGATAAATAATAATGCTATTTTCACCATCGTTTCACTTCATCGAGAAAGCATCAGAAGAAATTTTTTGAGCCATAATTTCATTGATATGGCTGCTAATTTTTCCAGTTTATCATGAAAAACATGAAAAAAAAATCTCACAAACAATATGCTGCAGCTCAACAATGAATTGTCCGATTTCCATCATATTCTGATAGAATCAAGAGGCTATCGATACAATTTTTTAAAGCCATGATTAATTCCATTTCGATAATAATTTGTGGACTGATGGTCGAAAAATCGATTTTTGAAAAAATACCAATATTCAAAAAACTCGATGAATAATTCAACTTTAATTGGTGTCGATGAATAGAATTTATTAAAGTCTGTATCCATGGAAAAATTCATGAAATTCCATTGAGCCACTATAAAGAAAATCGCAAAAAAATGGGAAAAAAGTCCACACACATACATTCATACATACATACATACATACATACATACATACATACATACATACATACATATATACATCCATACATATATACATACATCACGGGTCCTTTCGGCGAGGAACGCCTTTACCCTCCGAGAGTTTTCGCAGGTTGGAAGGTCCTGCAACGTGGCGCGTTCCCAGGTGGTGGATGGGGGAATGCTCGATATTCTGAACTGCCGTTCAGAATATAGGGTATCGACTAAATAAAATACGTCGGCCCGAACTAACACCTTCCGAGAAACCCAACTCTAAAGTAGGTGTCCAGGGTGGGCTCCCTAGAATACACCCGGGTCAGGCTCCCGAAAACAGCTAGTGTAAAAATGATGAGTGATGACAAAATTGAAAGTTCCCATGCGGGTAGCCTTAACAAGGAGAATCCCACCATCATTTCTGGTGCCGGCTCCATGGATTATGGGAGGAGCCAATCATCACATTCATTAAAGGTGGACTCCTTGGCCTCGGATGCTACAAGGAGAGACGAGTCGCAGACTAAACAAGAGACGGAATGCTGCAATGCATGGGCGCGACTTGAAAAACTCATCGCAGAACTTCATCAGTATGTCCGCATTCCAACGCCTCAAAAGTTTGGAGGAGGCACGCATCAAAGCACGACCCTCCTTCACCAAACCCGCGCAAACTCCACCAGCACCACCCACGTTGCGTTTACGGACGGACTCCGAAACGACGGCAAAGGACTCGGATTTGGAGGATCCGAATACCATGCAGTCGGCCCGAGATGTCCGGAAGGCAGTGCGGAGAAAGCGCTCGAAAGGCTCACCAGCGGGAGAAGCTCAAGCTTTGAAGAAGCTGAAGCAACAGGATCTGACCAGCAAGGCAGCCCCGCAGATGGTGGCAACTTCAGATCCACTTTCTAAGCCTGGATGTACGCAGGTGAAGAACAAGAAGGAGAAAAAGAGGCAGGCCGGACAGCTCCATCCACAGCTGCCTCCCAAAAAGATGGAAAAGAAAAAAAAACGGGAGAGGGCTACTCGGAAATCAGTGATGCGACCTGATGCGCTGATTATACGCTCCAAGGACAAAGAGAAGCTGTTTGAAATCAATTACGATTTGATGAGCCGGGTGGTCGGGAGGAAAAGTGAGGTTCGGATTAACGGTTTGATAATTTGCCGGAGGTAATTTGATGAGTTTTCTTTAATAAACAAATTACTATGCACTGAAAATTACACAACACAGAGTTCAATAAATAGATGATTTCCGAGTGGACTGTATACAACTTAACAAAAAGATGATTTGCGATTACAATGTTCGATAATAGTTGCGATGATTTTCCGGCACTTTCACTCGATGAGGTTCGATGGCGTACTAAAGATACGACACGCACGATCGTCCTCGTGCGTGTTCGTCGATGCCCGAAGGTTTACGAGCGAGCAAAATTCGACATTTAGCCCGACTGAAGGATGATTTTTAACATCCCGCCCGCCCTGCGTCACCTCCAGGTGACGATGTATATCTGATGATTATGATGACGTATCACTGTTGACCTTCCAAAAGGTCGTCGTTGATCGGCAAAGGCACCAGCCTGTGGATGGACCGTTGAGTCTCCTGGTTGCCTTTCCTCAGTGTGACAACTCTGGTCAGGTTGTCTTGTCCCGGATGAATTGCGATGACTCGAGCCAGAGGCCACTTGGCTGGTGGCTCCCGCTCGTCAATGATGAGGACCAACGAACCGATTTTTACTTCGTTCGTTGGCTGCTTCCACCGATAGATTTGCTGGTAACGATGAATGCACTCTCGTGCCCAGTGTTCCCAGAAATTCTGAAGCCTCTGGGAGATGATTTGCCATCTGTTCAGTCTTGCTGTGTTGATCTGCTGAAGTGAAGGCTCTGGAATTGTCGTGAG